CTTGTGGAGGCAGGGCAAAGGAAGAGCCCCTGGATGTTGTGGTTTTCCAGCTGGATTCGGTTCGGTCCGGCTGGTGTTTGCTGAGCTCCGGTCTGCACCAAGGGCCCCGGCTAAGGGCTGCGGGGCTTTGGACCTGGGTGTTCTGCCACGTGTTCGGGAACAAATCCCCCAGCCCAGGCGAGACGCGGCTGGTTCAGCGGGTCCGGGTGGGACCTGAGATCGTGTGTTCCTGACCAGTGGGTGTGGAGCCCTGTCGCTGGCCGGCGTCCGGGCCGCGAGGGGGCAAACCCACAGCCCCGGGGAGCCCACGCCTGCGTAGGGCCTGATGCCTCCATGGCTCCTGAAAGCCCGTGAGCGGGGACCCACAGGAGGACTTACCTTCTGGAAGCTGTCAGGCGTGGATGCAGCTACATGTGAAGCACAGAGCCTGGCAGGAGAGAAGGTGCCTGGGGTGGGGGTGGGAGGAGCTCCCACACCCCAGGGCTGGAAACGGGACTTTGCTCCGCGTCAGAGTCCTGCCGCGTGTGAGCCCTGGGAGCGTCCCCGCGGCACCACGCCGGCCCTCCTCCAGCCTCTGGCTCCTCCGCGGGCCCCTCCGCTGCCCTGCTCTTGGAGTCGCGCTTCCTCCCTGGGAGAGGTCAGCCCACCCACCGAGGGCTTCCCCACGCTGCCGCCTCCAGCCGTCACAGCCTCCCTCCCGCTGTCCTTACCCAGCCGCTGTGGACTTTATCGAATACATGCTTCTCAACTTGTTGTAAGCCCTTTGATCAATCTCCGGAGACCTTGAATGGTTGTTGTTGCTAATTCCGACCAGTTACCCCATGTCTTTCCTGGGGAGAGGCGTCTCTGGGCAATTCACACTACCATTTCGGAAGTCCTGCCTCCTTACCATTCTTAGACTGCCCTGAACAGGCACCTGCCTCAGGGCCTTGGTATGTGCCACTCCTTCTGCCTCAGGGCCTTGGTATGTGCCGCCCCTTCTGCTCACAGTACCTTCTCCAGGTACCTAACACATGGCTCGCTTTTCGCGCTCTTCCAGCCTCTGTTGAAATGCCACCTTCTTGTAAACAGTCCTCGCCAGCAGTCAGTTAAATTAAGGAAAAAACACCACATACAAACGAAAATGCTGATTCAATTTCAAGTTCTTTCCAACACTCAATACAAGAAGCACTCCTTCTAGACTGTCTATACTTCTTTGCTGAGTTCGGTAGACACCTAAAAAGGCTCACACGGTGTGAAGCCTGACACTGATCTGTCCGAAACCGGCCAGATGTGCGGGGTGGGGGATTTTCGCTCACAGGACAGCACCAGACCCTGATGTGTTCCCTGCTCTCCTCCTCCCCAGACAGATCTGATCCCCAGCTGAGCCGTCACACGTGTCCCCGGTGCATCTTCCCCACTGGTCAGCGCCACCAGGGCACGGATCCCGCGGGCTGTAGCCCCTGCGGCATAAACAGAGCAGGCACAGCTGAGCGGAAGAATGGCCAAGAACGAATGGGGTTTGTATACGGGGCGAGAATAGTGGTTTTGGAACCTGCCTCCTAAGGACGGTGGCTCCTGTTGTGGCATCGGCTTTCTGCTGCACCCCATGTGAGCTCAGGAAAAGCAGGGACCGCACAGAGCCCGTCATGGCAGCATGGGACAGCAGATACCCACAGGGAGCTCGGAGCCTGGGCGCGGAAACCGTGAGGAAGCCCGTGACAGGCCACTCTGAAAAGCGATGGCTGAAGCACGACTTTGGGTCTGTGGTGGATGAGTGATGGGAACCGGTTCGCTCCCTGATGCCGGCAGCATCTTAGGACAGGGAGGGCGGGGCGAGGCCCCGGGTGCATGGAGAACTGGGCAGACAGTCAGGCCTGGGTGTCCTCAGAGCTCCTCTGGGAGTTTGCATTCGGAACAGGGACTACTCAAACTTCCACAAGGTATCGAATGGAAGCCCCAGTTGATACTCGAGCTACATTTCAGGCCGACAAGAGCCTGAAACCTGACCACCCACTATCAGAGAAGTGGACGAAGGGACGCGGGTGTGGTGGTGAGACCTGGGGTGAGGTCAGGACTGTGGATGGCAGGGAGAGGCTTTCCTGGTATTCTGGCCGTTTTCTGGTTTGAGTGACCCTCTGTGGACTTGTTGGGGCTCAGGCCACATGCAGCTGGGAAATCTGCTCGGGAACAGGTGCAGATGAGAGCGAGCGCAGTGTGGAACAGAGGCGTCAGGCCTAGCAGTGGGGTCTCTGCTTCAATCATCCAGGAGACCCCAGAGCAACCGCTCGCTGGTTCCGGGCGGTGGACGCGTGGAGAGACAGGTGCCTGGAGAGGCTTGTTGTCGGGCGCCCAGGGCTGATGTCAGCATCCCGCAACCCCCATCACACTTGTTCCCCGAGACGTGTGTTTTCACGCACACGGACAGCCCATGTCAAGTACAGACCCGAGTGCAAAGACAGGTTGTGTTTATTGGCCTTGGCTTTGACGTGACAGACACACTCTGCAGACGTGAGTACAAACGGACTGTAAACAGACGGATCGTGCCAGCAGAGTCAGGTTAAATGCAGAGAAGACACACAGATCAAAAGGCGGGTTCTACTTCAAGTTCTTTCCAACACTAACAACCGCTCCCAGGTGCCCTTGACCCTTCTTTGTGCTTTCGGGTAAACGGGAGTTGGAAAGGACGATACGTTTATAAAGTGTAAAACCAAACCGTACAAACCCGACCAGACGAACGGGGGAAGAGGGAAGGTGCTCGTCTTACAAAATACCGTAAGACCACCAGCATTAATGTGAATCGTTCCCATCTTTGGACTTGCAAGCCCCCTCAGCAATTTTCCTAGGAAAATAACATGCATCAAATAGAAAATTGGTATTCTAAATACATTTTCTTCGTGTGACACATTCTTGTTGTGGGTATAGGTAATGAGAATGAAAAACTTTTTCTTCTTCCTTCCTTTCTTGCCAAAATGTAGGCGTTAAAAGTAAACCACAGCAAACCTACTGAACTCACCCACAGAATGGAGTCAGGACAGATGGAGACAAGGGTGGATGCAGTCCAGGGCACCCGGGTCCAGAAGCATCGCGGGACCGGCAGGCGCATCTCTAGGACGCTCTGCGGGGGCCTCTGAGCAGACGGGCGCGCGTGTGCCACGAAGGGCAGGCCCGCGCTCGGCCGCAGAGCTGGCGCGCAGTCTTGCTAAGACACCTTCACGCTGCTGGATTATACGGCCCGTCTTTAAAGCTAAAGTGAAAACTGTTAGAAAAATAATCTGGCCAAGGATAACAAAACGGTTTTTTTTTAAACAAAATCTTAAAAACATTTGGATATTCAAATCTAACCTTTTCACACGATCCAATTTGGTTTTGAAGGTGATTTTAAGTATTTTACCAAATGCAGCACATAACCCCATGCAAGCACCACCACAAAGTCACCTCGTACGTTAAGACTTCTCGTCACAATGACTACTTGACAGCTCAGTGTTCGTTATTTCCCTCGTGACCTAATTGCAACAACTTTAACACAGAGCAGGCAAAGGACAAGGGTTACACTTCCTTCCCTGGGGGTCACCTGACCCTGCAGAAGCAGTATTGAAGATGAAGCCCTGCTACGATTACATGATTAAGAAACCAAAATCAAATCAACACAGTCCCACAATCCCGGCGGGCGCCCCTTGTCACCCGAAGTGGTGGCTGGTCCCACCGAGGCAATGCTGGGGTCCCCTCTGGGGGAGGAGCGATAGGGGTGGCAGCTGTCACTCCTGGGAGGTCCCCTGGGCAGAGAGCGGGCCAGGGAAACACTGGGCACCCGCGGGCCAGGCCTACAGACCCCCAAATCTCCTATCTCTTCCTCAAGTGTGCGATTTGTTATTTCGTTAACTCGAAAAGGAGCTGGGGGGCCCTGGTGACTTTCCTTGGGCAAAGACCTGATGTCTGAATCTGCGCCCCATCACGTGGGCTCAAGGGACAGACGTAGCTTCCCTATGCTCTGTTCCTGTTTTTCCAACTGAAGTCTGAGTGCCTCCCACTGATGTGTGTAATTAACTAAAATCAGAACTCTGTGAAAATCTCAAGTGCAAGCTTCAGTATTTCAGATTAAAGGTAGCTACGAGCAAATAAATATGCACAAGGAACCCTTAGCGGCTGCTTATTTCTGCCTTCTGGCAGGAACTCGGGTTTTCAGACACTGTTGCCACACCTCTGAAGAAACGAATTTTAATCTGAGTTGGGAAAGCTGCTTTTGGGGACACCAGTCACTCTGGGTGCTGGCGCAAAGGCTCGCGTGTAAAGAGGAAGGGAACCGGAGCACGAGACCGGGAGGAAGGCGCGTGCTCACGGTCCCAGGTGAGAGCCGAGGAGGGGCGCTCACCGGTGAAGACACTTCGGGCTGGCCTGAGAGGTAGGAACACAGGGAAGGAGACGGGCCCAAGGGCCGGAAAGAGGCGCCCCGAGGACAGAGGCTCTTCTCTCCCCGCCCCCACTGCAGGGTCCTCCCCCCCCCTGCGCTGGGCACGCAGAGAAACTACCACCGAGTTGCTGACTGGGGTTCGAGCCCAACACAAACTGCCAAATGCCCACGAGGCCAGGGGAAAGGTGGAAAGCCACTGGAAACCAGCCCAGCACCAGTGGGCATGGCGCCCGAGCACCCAAGCTCAGGCTCGACTGGCCAGGACGTCCCCTCCAGGCTCCCCCGGGGCCTGCAACGAGAAGCGTGGCAGTCCTGCAGCTCAGCTCCATACCGGTGGGGAGGTCAGAGAATCACCATGAACCTATGAGACCCCAGACCTCACGCGCACCAACAGCGTTTGTGGCAAAACCACCACCAAGAATGCTGTAGGGGTGGAGACTGTGACTCTGCTCAGACCTGGGTCTGATTTACGGTGATTTATAAAACAATAAAAACCGCCCACTTTCAAAGTTATAATTTATAGAATATCTGTGCAAAACAGTCAGTCTCTAAAAGGACTCTGCTGCTGCCCAGAAAAAGTCCTGGCCGTGGGCCTTCTCTTTGGCGTGGCTCATGTGACACAACCCAGTCCCCAGAGCGCCCAGGTGGAGTGAGCAGTGGCGGTCTTCAACACTTGCCCAAGTGGAAGCCTCTGCTCAGGGTTGAGAGCCACTTTCGGGAGGCCGATGAGACCTGACCAGGATACTCTTGTCTGTCTTCTTGAATTCTGTGGCGGGTGAAAGCAAGACCCCACAGCGTCCTGGAACCAGCCTCTGTCCCTCCCGCCCGCCCGAGCAGCGTCCCCCGTCGGTGCTCTCTTACATGCCCATGCCTTGCGCGCGCGCGCCTTGCCTGCTGCTGCCTTGTGTGTAGCCATGCCCTTTGCCCTTGCCTTGCCTTGAGCTAGAACAGACATGCCATGCCTTCATATCCGGCCGAAGGCCTTGGCCAGGCCAGCCTTCGGGTTTGGGGCAGGCTTGGCAGCCTTCTGAAGGAGGAGGAGGTTCGTTTCGAGCAGTCCCTATCGAGGATGCTTCACGGGAGCGCGTGAACAAGTGCCCGAGGACAGCGCGGGGGGGTCGGGTTCTGACAGGGACTCTGGCTGGGTAGCGGCGGAAGGCGGACGGACCCGAGGCTCCAGCGGATGCAGGAGGAGCCTTTCTCTGCAGGTGACCTGCCACTCCGGCCGTCTCCAGCTCCCGGGACAAGGCCTCCCTGACGGTCCCTCCCCACCCTGTGCGCGCACACACAACTACTTGTGGTCCCTATGAAGAGTCAGGTCTTAAACTCATCGTGTACTTTCAGAACGTGTGGTTTCCGTTGAACTGAACCAAAGCAGCGAGCGGCACCAACGCCAAAAGCAATGAGACGAGACTGTCTCTCTTTTCCTGTCTCCTCGTGGGCAGGTGACTCCACGTGTCAGCAGAGGCAGCTATGGCTGGGGGGCCGTCAGATGCCCCCCAGGCTCTGAAGCGTCTGGGTGGGCAGGTCCAGGGACACAGCCTCCTTCCAGAGGCCCCGAGTCCCCACGACCCTTGCAATTCTGGACAGCAGGACCTGCAGGTGCCCCGCGAGAGACGCGCCCCACACTCACCCGCAGTCATGTTTCTATTCAGCCCGAAGGTGACCTTCTTGGAGCTTGAGGGCGTCTTGTCTCGCTGCAAAGGGAGAACAAAGGGGAGTAAGTCGGTGGCGGTGGAGGCCCCGGACCTGGCCTCTCTGGCCACATGGCGGCCTCGTGCTGCGTCCTTGGGGAGGGAAGCTGAGCACGGTGGTGTCTAACAGCTTCTAAGTGACGGCAAGCAGCTCGCACTTCAAGGCCGTGAGGACCCCACCCACTGAGTTTTAGTTTTAGCGCATACGTGGGACGGGACCACGCACCGGACGGGCTCTTGCTCAGGGGGCAGGACGCGCCTCCCAGAGCCTCCCAGACTCATCTCGGTGTCCCAGCAATTCATCAGTTAACTAAGTCGTTTCTCATTTGGGAAATTCCTGGATGCGGACCCCTCTGCGTGATGAAGCACCCGCCTTTGCTGCGTGGATCCCACGATTCCACTCCGCACCGTAAACGCTTTACCGGAGGAACTAGTCCTCTGTGCGCCAAGTCTCAGGCCCTCAGGCGAGTGTCCCTAGGACGCCCTACCTGGGACTAGTTAACATGGCAGTCACGGGTCCAAGGCTATTTACACAGCAGCTACTCCCCGGCGAGCCTCTGCCCCGGCCTGTCCCTTGATCCGCAGCACCCAGGGGCAGCTGGCAGAGCTGACCCTGTGCTCCACGACAGCCGCCGCCCTCTCCCGCCACTGTGACGACGGGGACAGTGCCTGCTCCTCCCCCACCCTGACCAGCCCCGAGTCCTGGGCGGGGGCCCTTGTCCCGGTCCTCCCCCCCGTCCTCCAGGCCCGTTTCGTGAATTCTAAGGTGAGGCACCACCCACCACACCTGCAGGTGCCCCGACCAATCCCTCAGTCCCTCCCAGGTCACCAGGAGACAAACCCCAGGACTGCTCAGGCCCTCTGCCCAGCAGACCCAGGCTCCCTGAACAGGCCCCCACGTGCCATGCCATGGGCAGAAGCAGAGTCCCGGCGCACAGAGCCCCAGGTGTGGCCTTTAGGCAGGAAGGGGCTGTGCGGCTGTGGGGAGGGCAGAGGCGGAGGCGGGGGCAGGGGGGCCCGGGGCGCTGGGCAGAGCTCACGGACCTGCCCGGCAGGGCGCACAGAGACGGCAGAGGCACTGCTGCTCTTGGCTTTTCTGAAGAACAGGGGCTTCGGTAAGAAGGGGGTGTCGAACCTCACGAAGTCATTCTCTGTCCTCAGCTGCTGCTTCTTCGAGGGGCTGAGAGCCCCCCCACCGCCCTACGTGAGGGAGGGGCGAGAGAAGGGAGGAGGAGGAGGAAGAAGAGAGAGGAGGAGGAGGAGGAGGAGGAGGAGGAGGAGGAAGGAGGAGAGGAGGAGGGAGGAAGAGAAGGGGAGGAGGAGGAGGTGAGGAGGGGTCACACCCGAGCACAAGGAGGTGAAGCGGGACGGGGGAAGGGGTGCGCACGCAGCCAGGCGGGGCCCCCAGGATGCAGCGTCTGCAGCTCAGACACCCCATGCCCGCCGCTTCCCGGACGAGGTCGACGGCACCTCTTCACGTGGCAGGGTGCAGTCACGCGCACGCGACGGCTTCGCTCTCGTGGCACCGTGCCCACCGGGCCAGAGGGTGCCTGTCCTCCCACCCACAAGACCCGCCTTTGTGTATCTTTAAACTTAGGTCCCCTGTTCTGAGGATTTCTGCCTTTCAAAGGCCACCTGTTAAGTAATTCGTTTTCTTTTTTCTTTTTTCAAGTTTATTCATTTTGAGAGACAGAGAGAGCAGGCAGACTCAAGGGGCAGAGGGAGAGAGAGTCCCAAGCAGGTTCCACCCTATCAGCGCAGAGCCCAACGAGGGGCTTGAACTCACGAACCACGAGATCACGACCTCAGCCGAAACCAAGAGTCTGACGCTCAACTGACAGACCCACCCAGGCGCCCCCATTTTCTCATTTCTGATCCGAGACATGGTCCTCCACTGAAAGTTCGGTAAGAAAGGGCAAAGGTGACATCTAGTGAGGCCCTGCGGGTCCCTTACGGGCAGATGAGGAACATTCACTGGCTGTCTGACAGCTGACCAGCACCCACGGCAAGGACCCTGCTCTGGCTCCGGGGTCCCCGGGGGTCCCCGGGGTCCGGGAAGCTCAACGTAGCGGACGTCGCGTTGCCAGCTTCCACCAGGTCTTGGTGTTCCTAGCTGGGGAGTGGGCTGCCTGCCCTCGCAGAGCCCACAGTGCTGCCGGCGAGGGGCAGACCCGGGGGGCCTCTCTTGCGGACCTTCAGTCCCACTGGCAGAGACACAGGGCCTCGTTTGGGAGGAAAACCTCCCGTGACCCCGGGGCTTACTTCGCGGTAGTTCTAATCCTGAGAGAGGCTGCCAAGGGCCGGAGGAACGAGACAGATTTCCCTGATGTTCTCAGCAAGGAAAGAGCAGCCAGTGAACGCATGAAGGGCCAAGGGGCGATGGTACAGGCGACAGAGCTGGTCAGGGGAAGGCCAAGTGAGAATAGGCTTCCTGGAGCCCGCTGGAGAGTTCCGAGGGCTTCCCCAGCGAAGACTCGTTCTGACCACAAGCTGAGCTAACCGCTCGGAGATGCCATCGTTCTGGGATCAGCACGTGACCCAACCCGCTCAAGTTCCCGCTGAGCAAGGCCTCGGCGAGCTAACCGCACACGGCAGCGCCTCCAAGTACCAGAGGGGGACGCAGTCAGCAGGCCTGTCCTGGAAGGGCGGGGAGTAAATACTGCAGCCTCGCGGCTCACGAGGTTTTCGCTTCTACCATCACCGCTGAGACGCGAGGCCGCCCTGAGCGGCCCCCACGTGACTGGCGTGGCTGGTGTCCCAGCGGAACTGTGCCGTCACGGGTACAGATGCCTCCCAGAGCTTGACCGCTTGCTTACGCTGGCTCAGACATATAAGCAGAGGCGGCCTCTTCGTTAAAGAGCAAAAGAGAAGAAAATCCTGGGCTCCGTCTTTTGCCGAAAGGGCCTAAGGACTGGCCAGGAGCTGATGATGAGTCGAGGTCAGCGCCTGACAGCGACTCGGTCTGTGCACTTACGCTGCGGGACAGTGGCGCCCCCCACGGCCGTGGGCACGATGTCCCGGCCCGGTGCCCACCCTCCCGCAGCCTCGGAGTAGCCTCATGGGGGACGGGGAGGGCCACCGAGAGTCTGTATTTCCTCGAGGCTGGACGTGTCCCCCACCTGCCCCCGCAACGGCTGCCTTACCAGAGCCTGGACGAGCCTGGCTTCGGCCTTCAACACCCCGCGGCGCTCCAAGTTACACATCTCTTTCATCTTCTTTCTCTTTTTCAAGATGGCGGCTTTCTGATGAGACGGGTCGTAGAGGTCAAGGCCGCTGGGCTCCCCCTTCTTTTTCTTTAGTCTCCTGCCCGGGGGCAGGCCGGCTGGACGGCCCTGCTGCTGGGGTGGGGGCCAGGCCAGCGCGGGGGGGCCGCTGCCGTTGATCGGGAGGGCTCCGAGCGTCCTCGGCCTCTTCTGGACCGGGGCTCCACTGGCAGGGGGTGCCGGAGGGGACGGTTCCCGGGCCTCGTCCCCCCGAGGCAGTGGTGGTGTGGACTCCGAGCTCTCGCCCTGGACCCTCAGGCTTCTCTTCCTTGGTCGTTTCCTCTTACCCTGTGCTGGGGCGGGCCCCAAAACGCTGTGCTCCTGGGGGCAAGGGGCAGCTGGTGCCCCCGGCTCAGCCGCAGGCATCTTCTGGGCTCTTCCTGGACTTCCCTCCGGCTCCCCGCCCCCGTTCTGTTCTGGGGGCAGGGCCGGAGCCCCCGACCCTAAATGCTCTGGCTGGAGATGGACCTTCTTCCTCTTTTTCCCTTTTCTCTTCTGAACGCTGCCTTTGCTCTCCTCTTCCTCAGCAAGGAAGGACTTGTTTCCTAGAGACACACACGCCAATACACAGGTGCCCACGGCGGGGAGACGGTTTTCCCGTGTCCCACCCCCAGAAGAGCCCAGGCCCTCCGTGTCCCCCACACCCCGCAAGCGTTGTCGTGGGCGCCATTCCCTGTCCCAGCTGGGACCACAAACCCTCTTAAGGCCTGTTCCCACAGGGATGGGGCGGCCATCACCACGGTTTTCAGGCCCTACGGCCCTCCCCACGGGCCTGAGGCGGAAACAGAATACAGGCTCCCGAGGGTGGGGTCTATCTGGTTCTCCACCTCCTTGCCACCACCCTGAAGCGGCCCCGAGGAGGAAATGAACACTTGTAGCTTAGGAGGCCGTAATGGTTCCACAGAAAACGACACACGTTCAAAGCTGATGCTAGGCTCTGGAAGGACCTGGGGAGACCTGGCCCAGCCTGCCAGGGCTGCAGGGGCGCACGCCACTCCCCGCGGGCTGCCCGCGTCCTCCACCCCATCCCGCGTCCACGGCAAGCTGTGCAGCTCACCTCCTTCTTCCTCCGGGTCGGTTTTCTCTAAAAGTTTATTTCCTTTTTTCTTGTGCTTTCCTCGGTTGAGTGTTTGGTCATCTCCCTCAGCAGAAATGTCCTCAGCAAAACTGAGCCGGGATAGGCTGCCTGCTGAACACCAAAGCCACTCTGGTCAGCTTAGAGACTGGCAGACTCTGTCCCCACCGGACACGGGAAGATTCCCCACCTGAGTCCTGTGTGCTCATCTGGGCTCCTCACCGCCTCCCCAGCCCAAACCTGCCAGCTACTGATGGGGACCGTGCACGACGGGTGACACCGTGGGGCCTGCCCGTCTCTGCACTGCAACCGGGGTTGGGCAGCTGCCCCCCATTCTAAGTGCCCAGGCGCACGGGGGGCTGGGGGAGCCACCGGCTCGCTCATGTCCCTGTGGACAACAGCTTTGCTCCAGGGGCTCAACTGACCACAACAAAGGAAAGGGGCCCCGAGAGCTTAACTTCTCTTCTTCCTAAGGTATCAAACTGGCACCTTCCTCGACCACCAGAAATCCTTCCCGCTAAGACAACGATGCCCCCCTCCCTCCGGCCTCAGGTCTGGATCCGCTGGGTCCCCGGGACGGGAAAGTGGGCTGGCTGGAAGAGGCCCGGCACTGTGGCTCTCACAAGGGCCCTGCCGAGCTGACGCCTTTCACAGGGAAAGGCTGCTATGTCTTGTGTTCCCAGTCAGTGTCACTCAAGCCCGTGTTTCAGTATCTGGCATGAGCGTCTCAGTGGGGCCCTGCTCACGTAACGTCGTCAGGGGTAATCCTCAGACATTCTCACCTTCGGAAAGATCCCGAAATCTGAAAGAGAAATCAAGAGAAGTTCTGAGAAACCCGTTCTTTCCATGTTCTGCAAACACCTGCACATAACTTTTAAGATGTGCCATTTGGACGCGTGTTAAGTTCACTTCCTTCCCCTCTAGAAGGGGAGGCTTGAGGCAAAGGCCCAAAGTGGAGGACGAATCGCCCTCAAGGCCGACGTCCTCCAGGATGTGGTGATCCAGAGATTCTATCTTGGTTCATTTACATAAACTGAAGAGATGAGAACTTCCTTCTTCAGGTTAAAGCTGCCCGTTTTCTTCTCCGTTCGCCCAGAGGAGAAAACGCTCTGCCCGGTGCTGGTGTCAGGACGAAAGGGTGAGGGGCCGCGTGCTGGCGGGAGGCAAGGACTCCGGCGGCAGAGCATCGGGGAAGGGGGTGCGGACAGCAGGTCTGAGTCCAGCCCTGTCACCTGGTGGCTGCGGCCTCGGGCCAGCCGGTTACCTGCCCTGTGTCCCGGCCGGCCCATCTGTGAGGTCAGGAGTGACAGGTCTTCCGGGGCCTCTCCGAACATGACCTGATGCGTGTCAAGTGCCCCGAAGGGCGCCTGCTCTCACGGAGGACAGTTAACTTCGGGCACCCCCTGCCGCCAACCATGGTGCTCCGTGCCAAACCGCTGGGATGGCCACAGTGACACCCACTACCACATCTGGCCCGGCTGCGGTGGGGGTGAGGGAGTAGGTTCTCGAAACCCCTGCCCACCTCGCGAACACCTAAGCAGCATACTTCATGCCCTCAGGACGCGGCCCGGGAGGGGAGCTACGGGCACGTGAAGCATCCGCTGCGGGGGGGGGGGGGGGGGGGGGGGGGGGGGGGGGGGGGGCAGCCGTGTGCGCACAGCGCTGCTGCTCTGGCTACAAGCGAGGAAGGCCGGGCGGACGTCAGCGGAGCGCCCGCCAGTCACTCACTTCTTGATGAGTTTGGAGAGACGCTTCCTGTTGAAGGGAGGGGTGTTCTTCTTGTTGGTGATTTCCAGGAGTCGGTCAGCAACAGCCTTGTAGTCGAACTGCGTGAGAACAATGAGATGTAAATGAGACGTAAACCCGCAGCCAGACCGCTGACTTAGAAAGTCATTCCCACTGCTAAGAGAAAGCAGCAGCGTGGATTCCAGAAGCATCCAGCAACAAGACGGTCTTATTAAACACAAACGAGTGCTAAGGTTTGGCGACCAGATGGTTAAGCAGTATCTTTGAAAAATTTGCTGTTTGTTCTTGGGGAAACTATTCTTTATCTGCTTTATTTATTTGTTTATTTAAACAACAACAACAACAACAGCAAAAGACCTGTGGGAAAACACACCACATAAAGTCTGCCTGGGGGTGTGCTTCTTCGCAAATTCAGTCTCGGTGTCCAACTTACACTCGGTAGCATGGGAACCTTTCCTTATGGGAGAAGCACTGAGCTGGCCTTGTCGTACGAATGGAACAGATCCCAACGGTTCAAGCCAAAGTGAAGACTGACATCTTTCAAAATTCTGTCACGTTTACGTTTCTTTGTCTCCAATAAGCTCGTGTAAGGAAGGTGACTTCGGCGAGTGAAAGGATTAAAGACGACTTAATCCACAGGCAGGCCTTGTGGATAATGAGCTCTGACCCTAATTCCCAGCCGGCCGGGCCACTCCACGGCAAATCTACGTCGTACCGACCTGGAGCAGGGGCCCGGCGTCCTCCAGGCGCCCGCCGCCTCTCGCCGCGTCGTCGCGGACGCCGTCCATCCTGGAGTGCTGCTGGCTCAGTGCTGTCAAAACACACCCAAGACATAGCTGCAAACACACGGCAACGACTACTTCCGGAGGAGCCACTGCCTCACTCACGTCTCTTTGCACAGAAGCCCCTGCAAATACACTTATGATCTCCCCAAAGAGTCTCGTTAGAGGAACTCTGGGAGAAAGCACACATTACACATTCTGCCTTTTAGTCACATCACAGACACATCAGCTGCCGCCCTCCGCGCCCCCGGCCCAAGGCCAAGGGGTCAACCTGCGGTTGTGGCAAAAATCTACACCATTATTAAACTAACTTCTCACGGAGCTGCTGCAGGAGACAGACTAATACCGATGCAACTTGTAGCAGTCAAAGGATAATTCATGGAGTGCTGAGGCCCATGAAGAAGTAGATGAAGACTCACAATTTTTCAAATCCTGTGAGTTCGTTAGTGGTGTGGCCTCAGGGCACAGCCTGGAGAAGAGAGCAGGACCTTGTGCTTGCTAACAAGCACGACAGAGGAGGCTGGGAGAGCGTCTCTGGTTCAGACAGAAACCTGGTGCGCAGGGGTGAGCCAGAGACAGGTCCCGTGACCACACGACACTTGCTCAAGGTCATCTGATTAATTCTGTCACCTACGTGGAATTTAAGATGAGACTTTTTCTCCCTTTTTAAGATAATGATTTTTCTGGTTAAAAAATAATGTATGGTCACTGCGGAAAACTTACAACAGACAAAAGTACAAAGAAAACAGAAGTCACCCATAACTGCCACGCACGACCAACAATTGACATTTTGGTATCTTTCCAGATTTATTTTTATTTTTTTAAAGCTTATGTATTTATTTTGAGACAGGGAGCGAGAGAGCACGAGCAAGGGACGGGCCAAGAGAGAGGGAGAGACAGAATCGCAAGCAGGTTCTTCACTGAGTGTGGAGCCCGATGTGGGCTTGAACCCACGAACCGTGAGATTGTGACCTCAGCCGAAATCATGAGTTGGACGCCTAACTGACTGAGCCATCCAGGCGTCCCTCTTTCCAGATTTTTCAAGGCACAATGTTAAAAACACACTTGGCTCCTTGTACAGAGAGAGTTTAGTGTTCTGTTATTAAAAAATGTGTAAATTAAATCCCATTACTTTTTGAAATCTTTGCTTTTTAAGGGCTGAATGACATGTCAGTGCCGCGCCGAGACGCCGTGAACCACCGCCAGATTGGATGGGCTGCAACTTGGGACGCAGGCTCCACGTGCAGCCGCTACAGACGCAGGAGCAGCCCGCACGGTGCCCGCCCACAGCGAGTGCTACCCACCCAAAGGGAAGGGGCCCTGGAGGGACCTGGGAGACCAGGCAGCAGAGCTACAGAAACAAGTGTGTGTTTGCAGTGTGACTGCTGAGGACCCCCTTGCAGACACAAGTCAACATTAGGATGTTTTAGACATCCAAAAACCCACAACAATAAAAACAAATAAAAACCAAAGGAAGAACAAAACGATGTAAAACCTTCGAGGGAGTCATGGTCCCGGGAGAAGGCACGTGCCCGCCACCCAGGGCCCCTGGGCAGGTGTGGGCCTTCCACGCAGCTCTGCGCCCTTTCTCTGGGGGAGCCCACGGCCGAGCCACGTGCGCTGACCTCCAGGTCGTAGTCAGCAAGATTCCAACACATATACCAAAAAGTGCTCATCCGATGAGAACTTTGTGTAAAAAAAAGGCTGCCGGAGGAAATTCTTACCGGTCTTCTTTCTACTGACGGTTTGTCTCCACACCACCTCGTTTTCAGGCGTTTCTTCTTCAGAGGGCTCACCCTCGCCCGCCTGAGGCTTCTGTTCCTCGAGGGTCTCTTCAGGTCCAAGAGGAGACTGGTCCACAATGACTTCAAGAACACCCCTAGCTATAGTCTGCACCAACGTCTGGCTGAGGGTGTGTAAGAAGAGCGACAAGAAGCTGGTTACAACAGAGGGCCTGGCCCTGGCCCTGGCCTTGGCCTGGGAGGGGTGTGGCGGGGAGAAGCCACCGGGCACCTGCTGTCACCCACTGGCGTCACCCACCGGCTGCCGCGCTCCAGAGCCGGCCAGGCGCGGCTGTGGCTGTGCAAGGCCGGGGGTGGGGCTTGTGGTCAAAGCAGGCAGGGCTGTGGCCGAGGGAGGGCGGGGCTCCTGGATGCCCGAGACCACACCGCAAAGCCAGTGGAGCCCAATTAGGATTCCGAGCTTCCAGAGTCCGGCTTCCAGAAATTCGGAGCTCAGCTGTCCGCGGCTCTGGATTAACCAGCCCAGGTACTCGCATGGCACTTCACAAGTTTACCACCATCACCCACAATGAAGCACCAAATGAAACAGAGAAAACAAACATGGCAATCACTTACTCCTTAGTCTTGGCAGCGACCTTGCAGAATGGATCAATGAACCTGAGATTCTGATCTGCCAAAAGCTGAAATTTAGAAACAAAATAGGGAAACAATGAGGGGACAAAAAGAGCCTTTGCTTCTGATAGGTCCTAGAGAGAGTTTTCACGTAGGCTGACGAAGGTCAACACCTCTCCCGGAGAGCCGCTTCCAAGATCCGCTCTGCGTGAATCATCCAGACGCTCTGTGCCAGGCTAAAGGTCATCTAAGGGTCACGGCTGTCTTCCAGCCACCGGGGCATCAAAGAAACCCCCCCCCCATCAACCCGTGCTGCTCTGCGTTCTCTCCCCTACAGACAGGCTCTGCTCGGACACCATCGGAAACGGTTCGGACCAAGGAACTATCCCTGCTTTCTTTTTTTTTTTTTTTTTTTAAATTTTTTTTTTCAACGTTTTTTATTTATTTTTGGGACAGAGAGAGACAGAGCATGAACGGGGGAGGGGCAAAGAGAGAGGGAGACACAGAATCGGAAACAGGCTCCAGGCTCCGAGCCATCAGCCCAGAGCCCGACGCGGGGCTCGAACTCCCGGACCGCGAGATCGTGACCTGGCTGAAGTCGGACGCGTAACCGACTGCGCCACCCAGGCGCCCCTCCCTCCTGCTTTTAAAGAGTCAACACCGCGAGCACATCCTGCTGTTACTACTGGCCTGTGTAGGCGGCTTTCAACTGTTTTACAAGGAAGCCTTCTGAGAGCGCCCTCAGTGCACGATCGTCGTTCACGTGCCCCACCGGCTGCTTAGGACACATTCCCGCCCGGGGAAGGGTTTGTCAAGTCGGGTGGGAGCGGCGCCGGGGACACAGGTGCCGACAGCAGCCTGTCCTCCGCCCTCCAGGCCCACGTGGGGAAGAGCCAGAGCCCGGACCAGGCGAGCGGCCGTGTCACTGCTGCTGGCGGGAAGTCTGCTCCTTACCTCTCTCCCTCCCACTTTGGACAGTTCGTCCAGGTAAATGCCTATGAAGTGGAACTTCACTCCATCAGGAGACTGGCTCTCAGGGTGCAAGATCTCCTTCATCAAGACGTCTAAGAATAGCTTGATTCGGCTGAAGAACACAAAGCACACGGCTGCGTTAACCGCAGCGTGGCCGAAGAACACAGTCACGTTCACCCCCGGGGCCACACCGCCTAACACGACGCAAGGCTGAAACAGTCCCTCGAGGGAAAAGCAGCCACCGAAATCGGGCTGAAGAGCTGCGTGTGCGCTCAGCCCCATGAGAAGCCTCTACCGGGCGGTGAGCTCTTCACGCGTGGGGAGCTCTGCCTCTCACAGCAGGTAAGAGAACAGGAGGCAAAGAGGAGGCACTTCGTACGAGCTCATGGAAAGGCCTGCGAACCCACTGCTACCTCGCACGTTTCGAGGCTGCCCAGTGCCTTCCCAGATCCTTTACCGACCTTTCTTCCCAGCCATTTCGCTTGAGAACTTCAAAGGACTGCCTCAGGACCAGACGGATCAGCTAAAGACGGACAACAAATTGGTTACAAAAGGAAAAGCAAGGTCAGTCGGCACAGCAAAGACCCCGATGGAACTGCTACAGCCTGCATCTCCGAAGTGAAAACATCGTCGCGACAACCACATTTACCTTTTCTTTTTTTTTCAATGTTTGTTTTGAGAGAGAGAGAGGGAGACAGAGGGAGACAGAATCCAAGCAGTCCCCACACTGTCAGCACAGAGCCCGATGTGAGGCTTGATCTCACGAACCGTGAGATCGTGACCCGAGCGGAAATCAAGAGTCGGACGCTCAACTGACTGAGCCGCCCAGGCGCCCTGCATTTACCTTTTCCTTTTCCGCAGAGAGTGTTAACTAAGGATCCCAAACTCCTCTCCAACAGCTGAAAGAGCAGAGCCGCCTTCGAGCACATGTTCAAACGCCCTCCCTTGATCGCGTTACCTCTCAACACACTAAGCCTGGAGCCCCCTCTGCTTCACAGATAAACCTTTTCCCGTTGTCCTCAAGACGCTCAACATCCCCCCTTCAGGGGCTTCTGAAGCAGACGGGGTAAGGTGCTCAGATCTTACCATATAGTACTTGCCCAGGCGCAGCCGGTCTATCCCCTTCCACTCTCGATTCATCGTTTGCCAGAAGGTTTGAATGAACAGGTGTTCTGCAGTGAACAAGAGGCTTTGAATGCTTGGTGTTCACGCTCATGCGTTACCATAAAGCAAGAAAGTAACAGAGAAACAAAGTAGCATCACTTATCATTTACGTTCTCCAAGGGTTTTCGGCAGCTATTTGGTCAATAATTAAATATGCTTGGTGATTTCCTTCATGTTTGAATAAAAACCTACTAAGACAGGAAGGCTGGTACTATCTTGATGTTCAACTACAATGCTCCGTGCGGCCTTTGTCTTTATCGACTCACAAGGCCAAGTCTATTACAATATTTCTATTAAATATTTTACTAAAATATTTTTGGTCTATTAAATATTTCTATTAAAATAAAAAACTCTCTGAGCCACGTCTACGGGCCCTTCCCACCCACCTACACCTAACAATGGATCCAAAGCCCTTAATTTTGACGAACACTTGGACGAGCTGCGTAGAAACTCAGCTTTTTGTTTCATGTTCTGCGTCAGCTGGATGAGCTCTAACAGAACATTCTATTTTTCTCTTCTGGGCCATGAAACTACCACTCTTCCATCCAAAAATAACTGTTGATTTTCTTGGTTTGTTTTACTTCTTTTTGCATAATTCTTTCTTGATAAGTGAAAACCTAGACGATATTCCACGTGTGGAAGTCGGCTGGGACCTGGCTGAGACCTGGACAGCCACTGGGGTCACTAAGGCCGGGTGGATGGCTCTGCTCCAAGGAGCACCAAGCAGCACCCACCAACTCTGCCGTCTGTTTTTCCTTTGTCAGTGATCAAAGCCTGAACATCTCAGGAAGAATTCACCTCTCCCCCCGCTTTTCTTGGTACAGCAGGGCTATTTTACGGTTTATTACCAATGACGACCTCAACTGGCTCCGGTCTCCGGGAGGACAGCCAGGCATGCTGAGCTTATAGCACACACGGGCACAAGCACACATGGCCCCTGGGAGTGTTAAAGCAGCTCAGAATCTGGAGACTCTGGAGATTTTCATTTCTTAAACCACTGTTTTGAAATCTTCTGAGATGTCACCCGTGATTCAACCGCACAAGGTGCCTCTTTTATTTGCTCTCTTTTGGGATCAACATCTAAGCTCATCACAGCTCTCCCACAGGGAAGGATTGTCGCCTGACATCTGCACACTGGAAGGAAGCCCCAGGTTCACGTGCAACAAGCCCCCTGGAAAACTGGAACTTGAAGGAAGGAGAAGAAACAACATTGCCTAGTTTCCTAGGCAAGTTACCAAAGCTGATGAACAAGAAAGTTGGGAAAGTCATGAAAACGTCAGGACTTACGGGCCTCCGAGTTGTTAACAACGTGGACGAGCTGGGAAATCGTGTTTGCTAGCTCCTCCTGCAAAGGTGGGGTCGGGGAGAGACAGCGGGGTTATTAGGCGGCAGCACGGTGAAGGGGACAGCACCCAGCCTGCTCTCCTCCCGCATCTGCTGGGGTCTGGACCTCCTGTCACGTCAGCATTTGAATTTTACCGGACGTGGAACTTCTGGTCCCAGCGGACTACAACGTAACATGCCCATGAGGGTCACGCTGCCTGGTTAGAAAAGTTATCTCTCGCTTCAGCTCCAATGACCTACAGGAGTAAGCCAGCTGTCAATTCCTGGCTTCAAAAATATAGACCTTAAAGTGAGATTCTATTCTAAGCCCCCGATCCCGGAACACGGGAGCTGGCGAGGGGATCGCCGATGGCTAGACACGGGGACTGCCACTCCGCAGGGGTGCACGTGGAACCAGAAAGTCCTGTGCTGGGCTTGCTCGGAGGCAGGCCGCAGAGGCGGGGGTGTGGGGTGGGGGGGTGAAACAGAGGTTAACGGCTCCCCTCCAGGCTCTGTCCAGGGCAAGGGGTCAGGTGCAGAGCGCCTGCTACAACGCAGCAAAGCTCATTTGTGGGGAGACTTGGGCGGGCTGGCTCTGAGAAGAGGCCCACCCTGGGGAGCGTCAGCGAGAGAATCCTGTTCACAAGTTACGTGAAAAAAGAACAGTCCTCCTCGGCATTCCTGGCGCTTCACCTGGCCTCGAGTCCTCTTCCCCCATTTTAACTGAACTCCAGACTGGAAAATGACGCTCTCGTTCACGTTTTCTTCCTCCACTAAAGCTGTCGGCTGTTACTTTTGAATGTAACTTACAAATATTTTGCCCTGCTGTCCTACTCAAAATATGTTCGGTGCAGTAAAAGCAATAAATCAAAGCCCGCTACTACGCGGTCTGGGAAAGTGGCAAAGTTGCACATTAAAATCCAGACAAATACAATCTGTGGCGTTTTATCTATCGAAGCCTTTCACACCGCGCTCCTCAAGGCTTAGCCTCCACTAGCTGTTACACACCAGAACAAAGGTCTGTGGACACTGAAAGCCGTTTCCCTACAGCGCCTTGGTGGTGGGGCTCAGGGTGCTTGGCAGACGGGTCCAGAAGCACGTGCACATCTGTGCGTCTCCACGGACTTCAAGGGTGGGATGTCGGGTGGGGGGCCACCGCTTGCTTTACAGAGATCCTGGCCCCGGCAAGGTGGCTGCCCGGTCCTGGCACCCACTTAAATCATGGCAGAGGTGAGCCCAGAGCCCGGTGCTCACAGGCTCTCGGACCAGTGCCGTGCCCTTATCGACCACGAATAATAGAAGAGGAAACAGAAACTAAAATAAGTCACGTGACACCTACCGTGGAACCAGCCTATGAAAGCATGACAGCGAAATACCAGATCTCCCTTTATCCATATTCTTCGTTATTTGAAAAGGTGACTTGGGCACCGTGTCCCTCTCTAGATGGACGAGAGGTGGGCAACTGAACCCCGGGCGGTGACTGCAAGCTGTTTCTGTGCACGGGGGACCGACACAGCAGGGAACGAGCAAGCCCCTTCTATCCATCTGGGCCACAACACCCAGCCAGAGGACAAGGGAACTGTGTGTTACCTGTAGGAGGGGTTCGTCCTGCACCCACATGCAATAGAAGAGCCCTTTCCATATTTTTAGGAGTTCTTCTTGACTGAAACCTCCTAGGGGACAAAACAGCACAGACGTCTTACTTCAGAATCCTCCCATTTCCTGTCCCAGCACCTTGCGCTGCCTCACGGGCAGCGACAGCAATACCACATTTTCATTCTTTCGCCCGCAATGTCTTTTTAAATTTGAGGCACACACTTCCTTGTGGTACAAAATAAGCACACACAGGCTATGTCGTTTTATCATCTCATCCTGCACACCAACACTTTCATCAGTCTTCCAAAATAAAACCGCGAATCCTACGAAAGATGAGGATTCGCGTCCCGTATACCCGGCCCCACGGAAACCGGCAGAGCTCTGGGACATTTTTGCAAGGATACCTTTTTAAGGATCCTGCCACGAGGTCAAACTCGGCGAAACCCTGATCTCTTTCCCTCCTGGTTATGGTTTTCATTTACTGGGCAACGACAGCCTGTTTGAAGGGACATCAACCTGGTTCGCCTTCTTGTGACTCATTTTCAAGCCCTGCACTATACCTCTGACTGAGCTACGAGTCACAGATAGCCTTCTAGGTCCTGGGCAGACCCCAGGTGTCATGGAGAACAAACACAATCCTCGAGTCTTGGGGCATGTTACAAATGGCCTGTGTTAATACTTCACTAGCAGGTACTAGGAAAAATCTTTCGGAATATCGAAGTAGGACAAAGGAGGCAAACCTCACAAGTACCTCACAATACGTATACATTTGGAATCAATGTAATTTCAACGTACCAAAAGAGAATTAAAAAGTGGCAAACAAATCCTTTTTGATGTACTGAAGTTTACTTAGTATATTCGGAGTGAGCTTTGTACCTTTAAAGATATTTACATACCTAGGTATTGGTTTCCAAGTATTGAAGACCTTTTTCATATCAACAATTTTATTAGGGCACATTTTTATTCTTTGTGATAGTTTCTCACTTAAAATCCATACACCAGAAACTACAGTGAAGTTTATTACAATACATTTCCTTTAGGGGTTGGGCAAATCATGTGGCAACTGCCCCCCCCCCCCCACGCTTGTTATGGCACAAGCCACGCCTGGGCGCCTATCGCTGGCACAACTATGGCGCCAGTGACTGATTCCCCTGGACCCCCAGATCGGAGACCGCCACAGTCAGGACCACAGGAACTCTGTCAAAGTGACCTGTACTTACATTCAGTCATGTTAAAGACCAATGAATTTGGGGTTGGGGCAAGGATCACCAATGGCTGGGAAAGCATCAGATGAAAAAGCACAGTGGAACTTGGAATGGATACATGAGGCCGGCAACACCCAAACCTACTGACCCATCTGGGCCCGCGACGCCCGCTGGTCCTTCGGGGCCTGCAGACCCGACTCTCCATTCAATGCAGGATGTAATGCAAAAGAAGGGCACAGCACCACCCGGTAAATGGTCTTACCAAAACGAACCGACATCATGTCGAATCTATTTAATATCAGCTTGGGGGAAAATACAGGGGACAGAGGAGTATGTCAGGCGAGACCATGGCATGTAGCTAGCAAAACCCCAAACACGAGAGACTCCATGGGGCAAATGGCGCAGCTCCTGCAACAAGCAAGCTCCAAGAGGAAAAACCACGGATGGGCGCTGCAGACCCAACGACCACAGGCACACCGGGTCTTGCTTGGATTCTGATGAATCCTAGAAAAATGGAGATGATGATGGGAAAACCCAACAGATTAGGTATTTCATATAAAGGAGTTCTTTTAAAAAAGATGTGATAAGGGTACCGTGGTCATGTTAAAAAGAGTCCTCATCTTTTAGAGACACATACTGAGGTGCGTGGAGAAGAAATGAGATGTCTGAGATTGCTTCCTAAGGCTTTCGTGGGAGGAGGAAGTGGGCAGATTACACAAACCGGGTATTAATAGATGCTGCAGCAGAGTGACGGGTACACTTTTTATATGTTTGAGACAGTCGTAATAAAAAACAAGGAAACAAGTACTGTATGAGGTTTCCACAGCGTTACCATGGGCTGTTTCCGTTCTCTTTGTGTAGAAAACTCTTCACAAGGGGACTAGAAAGCCATAAACACAGGCAAACTTACGAGCAAACAAGACTGAATGTCGCCGGTTCCTGTGTGAGGCCTGGTGCTGGCTATCCCCGTTTCTGCCATATTGTTTGCCCCTCCAGCGCTGCCCCCTACCAGGCAGGGCCCAGCGGGGGAGGCAGGGGTCTAGGTGGGGCTCGCCAGACACAGAGGGGAGCCGGCAAGCTGGGCTTATTCCAAATTAGCGGGAGTCCTCTTGGCCACAGGGCTGGTTCAAGGCACAGACGACCTCCTCGCCGAGGCTCCTGCTCAAGGCTTCAGGAGAGTCGCTCTCTCCCAGCAGACTGGAAGGGGACACAGTCCACACCTGCACTCGGCCACCATGCCACTTGCTGGGGAGCCTGCCTGAGAAGGGAGCCGATCTAGGGGAGCAGAGTCTGCTGTGTAGGAAACAGTTCTGGCACTATCAGTCGAGCTCCTGCATGAGGCTGTGCTTGGTTTTTCCCCTTAAAACTAGTTTGGCTTGGACGTTCTGTCAAGTTGTAAGTGAAAGAGTCTCATTCGATAACACACTTTTATTGCAAAAAATTCCTATTCATATATTACACCAGAAGTTACACAATCAAAGGTGCCTTGTTCACTACCTCCTGGACCCCAGAGGGACCACTGCTATCTGCCTGATGTACATCTTTCCATCCAGATCTTTCTTGTGCTTTGACATAATACTTATATGCAGCACAGAAATGCACAGATGCATAGCTGTGTATATAACCCGAAAAGCATCGCATGTTCTACATACTCCAAATTCTGGCCTTTTTCACTTAAAAATAGCACAGTGTATGTTTATCTCCGGAGGACTGTTCTAAGTGCACCCGTGTGTCAAATCAGCACCGGGTGACGATGCGACAGACCAAGTAACTGTGCAGAACCCACGCTTGTAGGAGTTGGAGGTGCGGCAAGCTCTGGAGAGGCTTATGTAACGGAAGACTGTGGATTTCAGCAGAGTAGCAGAGCGACAGTGGATCCCAGACGGCGGGCAGGAAAGGGGCTGCACGTGAAGACATATTCTCAGTGTTTCACCCTACGTGAGGCAGCAAAAGTGTGGTGGTCACAAACCCACGGTGAGGCCCTAGCTTGCTACTTACTAGCTGTGCTGCGGCAGAAAACCGTCAACGAGCCCGTAGGCCTGTGTCCTCGCCTACAATACGTGCACGGCTTATGGTCGGGAACAAAACTAAAAGCACGTATGAGAAGCGCTTCGTAAGAGTGAAGCACGACCCAGTTGGCAGGTGTTCGGATTGTCTCATGTTCTCCACCCATAGGCCACTGAAGCTCTTTTCCCTTTGGAAACATGTATTTTCAATATACGTAGAAAAACCACTCATTTTCACCCAGGAGTTTAGGTGGTAAAAACCAAATACCAGTTTCTTTTAAACTTGTTTTTAAGTCTTTTTAAAATGTTTATTTACTGACAGAGAGACAGAGAAAGGGAGAGGGAAAAGGAGAGGGAGAGGGAGAGAGAGAGAGAGAGAGAGAATTCCAAGCAGGTCCGTGAGGAGCCTGATGTGGGGCTCGATCCCAAGAACCACGAGATCATGAGCTGAACCAAAACCAAGATTCAGAGGCTTAACCGACTGAGCCTCCCAGGCGCCCCTGGGGTTGAGTTTCTTTAACTTAATGTCGCTTAAGTTTCTGGCAACAACATAGGTTTAGTTATTTCACAACAAATGGGGTGAACATGAAGTGAGACATGGGCTGAGTAAATTCCAACAAGCTGTGAAATGAGAAAGCCTGACGGCCACTGTCAGCACACGATGAGCTCAGGAGCCATGTGAGGTGGGGGTGAGTCCACACCAGGGTCAGTCAAAACATCCACAGCTCTCGGGGAGCCTGGGTGGCTCAGTCGATTAAGCGTCCAACTTCGGCTCAGGTCATGATTTCACGGTTTGTGGGTTCGAGCCCCACGTTGGGCCCTGTGCTGACAGCTCGGAGCCTGGAGCCTGCTTCCAATTCTGTGTCTTCCTCTCTCCCTGCCCCTCCCACTCTGTGTCTGTCTCACACTCTGTGTCTGTCTCTCAATAATGAATAAATGTTAAAAAAAAGCAAAAACAAAAAAACAAAACCACATACACACACACATCCACAGCTCTCATTTATTCTCACTTCTCGGTCCAGGAACCCCCAAACGTGTCAGAATGAAGAGACACTTCCCCCATCACTGTATATGAGACCCCGGCAACTCTCAGTTGTACAGTTATTTTCTGTGTCACCAAACGAAAGAGGGCAAATAAAAGTCACAAGGTTGACTTCAAGATACATCTCAGTTTCTGTAGATGTCAAATGTTTCAAGTTGCAGAATCAATAAAACTGGGGGGGGGGGGGATTTGTCTCTTTTGTTCACTGCCCTATCCCTGGGGCCAAGAATAACAATAGCACGCAGTAAGTGCTTTGTGTTTGCTGAAGACAGACGAATGATCTCTCATGAGTAAAACCACAGACAGTGGTCATTCTGTGAGTGTTCTGTGTGAACAGTTAAAGCACCAGAGCAACATTTAGCTCCTTTAAGCACTACAAAGATTTCCAATTTGTTTCCAAAATTACAAGGCTACGGGGGCGCCTGGCTGGCTCAGTCAGTAGAGCATCTTACTCTTGATCTTGGAGTCCTGACTTTGAGCCACATGCTGGGTGTAGAGATTACTTAAAAACAAAAAATCTCACAAAGCTATTTATGTTGCTCATGGGCAGTTCTTTGTATCAGTAACATTTGAGATTTTATTTACTATGCCCGAGACAAAAGGCAACAGACTTTGGGCCTGCCAGTGAGATGCAAATGTCAGGACAAGTTATTTCCCACCTTGCATCTCACGTTGATGGGAGCATAGTGGAGGCAGAGGCCTTGCCTATTTTGCCGCGCCTACGACATTCGCCTTGCAGCTCCTCTCATGCAGGCCCAGCGTACTCCACGCAGCGTGGACATGGTGGCAAACAAAAGCGTGAAACAAATCACTCTCAGTGTGATGGGCGCAGAGCAGACGGGACCCTGGGGGCACTGGTGTAAACCCCCTGGCATCATGGCCCTGTGTCCCCTCAGCGTTTCAGATCCTGAGCGTGCTCATCAAAAAGGTTTGAGCAACAGGTTCTGTCTGGCCATCTTGGCCCATATGTGCTGCATCTGGCCTCTCTTCCATTCTTGTGTTCAGACAGGTGAGTCCGCGGATGCCTGCACGCGCTCCCACTGCTCCCACTTCCAGCCAAGCAGACAGATTGGAAACTTCCACTGCCGGGTGGGGGGAGGGGGCGCAGAATGATACACTAACAGATTAGGAAGAAGCAACCTAAGTGTTGCCATTGAGACCCACTGGATAGTTTGGAATCCTGGAGGGGTGGGGTGAGATGGGAGGCAAGGCACTCCGGAGGAAGCTGTGTTGAACGGGATGCTAGGAGTGAACAAGAGAAGCAAAGGTAGAGAGGTGAGAACCAATGCGGATCCAGGACGAAGCAGTCACGTAGGGGCCGAGGTAGGAAGAGAAAGGGAGGATGGACCATTACCTGCAGACCTGGAAACCCAGGGAAGTAGGTGACATGGTCAGAACCGCCTTAGGAAGATGGCCCTGGGCTGGTTTGCAGAAGATGGGTTTAAGAGCGGCGCCAACGGAGTTAAGGAGACTAGTTAGGAAGTGATCAAGTTCAGAGGTCTGGCTGAGATGAAGGGGGTCTTCAGTGAGGTCAGAGGATGTCAGACGGTGAAAAATGGTAGAAGCAAGACACAATGGGTGAGGGGTGGGGAGCGAAGATCCGGAAGGAGCCTAGGCCGTCACCACATGTCCAGCCAGAGTGAGGAGATAGTGGGGACAGCATCCAAGACACGAGAACACAGGCGGCAGAGGAGAAGCAGGAGAGAACGGGTTTTAGGGGGAGGAAAACGAGTCCCTTGTGGGCCTCTGAGTCCGAGGTGCCCATGGGACACCCCGGCGCAAGTGCCAGATCTGCTCTAGAGACTTAGACTGAGGAACCTTCGGTGTACTGGGGATGCCCGACACCATGTGAATGAAATCCCTCAGGGAGGCCCCTAACAGAAGTGACGTTAGGAATTCGGTCCTCATTCCTTTCTAGCTGACTTCCCATCAGACTGTTACTTTCTTTTCCCTGGGCATTTTTTTTGTGATTTCTCCTCCAAACAAAACAAACTAAGAAAGTCAGTCCTGGGATAGATAGTACCCGTTCTTTCAAGTAGACTCTAAACGCATTAGCATTAGCAGTAAATCCAAATTCATCCCTGCACGACGTAAAAGCTCCACCGCCTAAGGTGGTTCATGCTCTCGAGGGTTTACAGAACGCACCTTGGCTCAGGTAAATAAAATCCTTCAACAGCACCCCCCTGCAGTTAAGAAACGAACTAGAAGGCCCCGTGTGACCTGGCCATTGCTGTCTTTTCCAACTTTAAGTCCTAACACCCTCCCCCTCTCTCACTTAACTGGTCTTCCAGCCACTCCTAGGGCAGCTTCGCTCTTCTCTCCCGCCTGTTGGAATCCGTTGAACGTCACCCAGAGGCCTTCCTGGAACAGCCTATGTAGAGGAGCTCCCTCTTCCCGTGATTTTCCTTTCCTTGCCTCCACTTGTAAAACTCTCTTTTAGTTATCCAGCCCCCGCCCCGATTTACTAGTGCAACTTTCAAAGTAGAGATTCTCCCGTCTCCTGTAACTCCCGCACCTCAGGTGGGTGTGGGTCAGATAAACACGTGCATCAACGGGGAGCACAGCACAGCAGAAGAAACCGGGCTCAGTTTGGTGACTCAAGGGGCAGGCTCAGGGTCGGACAGACTCGTCCACTCCCGGCTTCGCC